TCACCCAGGGCCATGTGACAGAGGTCAACAGTACCTCGCAGGAAAGATGAACTTAGAAACCAAGAGCGCTGCCTCTTTCTGCCTCTGTACCCTAGGCCCCGCACCTGTTCAACAGAGTCAGAGCTGAACAAAGAGTTCTGGCTAGAGGTGAAGGTAGATACGGAACAGGAAAGAAAACTGAACCTCCCTCTATCTGAGGCTGTTGAGGCATCCACACACCTGCATGCCTCTCCTTTGCGTGGGGTGACAGGCTCCTGGGGCAGCCAGCTTTGTATTTCTCAACTGCTAGGCTTATACTCATTTCCATCCACAGTACTAGGGACAAACTCAATGTGGGTTGAAATGGATTCTTTCAGGTGCCAAGGACCTGGCATGGCTTGGCATAAAGAACCCATCTGAGGGACCTCAGAGGACTTCACACCACTATGCCCAACTCCTGTTAGGAGGTAGATAGTGGGATCAGCCAGAACAGCTGGAACCTGCTGGCAGCTGCATGCTGGGATGAATCACACACATGAACTGGCTCCTTCATTCTCACCAGGAGGCACCAAGAAATGACCACCTGGAGTTCAAAATCCCAAGACCAACTCCTGTTCTTCCTTCCTTGATGTGAGGACAAAGCAGGCCAGGAATGGGAAGTTCCCTTGCCTAGAAAGTAAGCAACATTCTCTTCCACATGTCTCTCATTTTTTATCATGTGTCCACTAAGTCAAATCATTTGAACATGCCCTCCAGGATTTATTTCATATGTGGTATGCATGTACGGCCATATATACGTAATACTAATAGATATAAAATCTCAATCAGTAAAATGGAAGCATGAGACAGAAATTTTAGAGCCTTCTCCCTGCTCCTCTGGCCACAACTGTTTCAGTTACCTGCAGAGAGCAGGCAAGTGGCTTGTGGCAATGAGTGACAGATTCTGGGAGCTTTGTGGGATACAACCAGGCCTCTCTGAGTACCACGTGAGGCTCAGGACACTGTTGGTTGCAGGCCCATGGCTCCCATTTGGTTGACTTCCAGCACTGGGAGCTATCAGCCTGAAGGCAGAACGTTGGTGTGAACAGGCTGAGAATGTGTCCAAGAGCCCTGGTAGACACTCCATGGCTTTCTCTGGCCCTGATCACCTCTACTGAACCCTCCTGGGATTTGTAACCTGAGTAACCTACCTGGCTACCATTGCCTGTGAGGGTATTCGTGTAGAAATTTCCTGATAATTAGTAGGTAAACATTAGGTTTAAAAAAAAACAAAAACAACAACAACAACAAAAAACACAACCATATCTCCTTTAGAAAAAGTTATCAAGCTCTCAATTTCAAAATAAATTTCAGATAAGACACCTGAGTTCCCAAGTGTTCCCACCATGAGCCAGAGGCACGCACAGGGGTTTCTGAGCGCCCTCACAGCCAGAGAAGAAGCCAGTGTCATTTCTGCTTTGATTCTGAAAGTCTGACTCACCCTCAAGTAAACACTTGAGAGATGAAGCAGCGTGCAAGGGCATAGAATAAACCAGCAGCTGCTAACATGCGTTGATGGTTTGCAGTAAGGCTTCAGATCCAACCCCAGGAAAACAGCAGAGAGAGGCCGAGGCAGTCTAGAAAGGGGAAGAATGTTCCCCCAACCATGCACACAATGGACTCCAAAGGTGTACAGAAAGTCAGTGTACACATCCTGGGGTAGGGGCATGTAAGAATTGGCTCCTGTCAATCAGAGGGAGCAGCTTTTCATTGGACAATAAGGATTTCTCCTCCACGGTGGTTACAGACACAAGATATGAAATTGTTATAATAAATGCACTTCATCTACAAAAGAAAAAGAGGAGCCGGGCAGGGGTGGTGCACACCTTTAACCCCAGCACTCGGGAGGCAGAGGCAGGCGGATCTCTGTGAGCTTGAGGCCAGCCTGGGCTACAGAGTGAGTTCCAGGAAAGGCACCAAAACTACACAAAGAAACCCTGTCTCAAAAAAAAAAAAACAAAAAAGAAAGAGAGGGATAGAGGGAAGTAGAGATGGAAAGAGAGAGAGAGAGAGAGAGAGAGAGAGAGAGAGAGAGAGAGAGAGAGAGAGAGAGGCTTCTGTGTCAATCCTTGGGTATTACCCATCTTTTATTGAGAGTGGGGGGAGAGAGAGAGAAGTGGGGGGCATCTCTCACTGGCCTGGAACTCATCAGTTAGTCCAAGATGGCTGGCCAGGGATTCACCCGTCTCTACCTCCCTAGTGCTAAAATTCCAAGTGCACATCACCATAGTTGGTTTGTTTAGTCCACCTAGAGTCTAGGGATCAAACACAAGTCCTCATGGTTTCAAAACAAGTACTTTTCCAACTGAGCTGCCTCTCTGGCCCCAAAGTAAAACCCCGAGCCAGGAAGAGCTGTGGTGAACACCTTTAATCTCAGCCCTTGGGAGCCTCAAGCAAGAGGATCCTGAGTTCAAGGCAAATCCAGGCTACAGAAAGAGACCGTCTCAACAAACGGCAGGCAAAAGTCAGGATTTTTAAAAATACTTCCTTTGACTCCGTCGGAAAGCTAACAGAGAATATGTGATAATTGAGAAGATGGGAATTAAAGCAGAACACAGCCCTGAGGGGAAAGGCGCTAAATCAACACATGCCACGTTACTGTCACCTCTGAAGCGGCCTGAAGGGAACGGTAAGTGGGCAAGGCTTCTTACGGAGGCTTGGCTTTGTTCTTCAACAGTCCACTGTGAGTCACAGAGACGTGACGCCAAGGCAAATGGGTTTGGACCTTATACTTTCCTGGGATGTGTTGAATTTTAATCTTAACAACTAAGAGTATAGTTTCCAGGGCTGGAGAGACGGCTCAGTGGTTAAGAGCACTGGATGTTCTTCCAGAGGACCCGGGTTCAATTCCCAGCACCCATATGGCAGCTCCCAACCAACCTTAACTCCAGTCCCAGGGAATACAATGCCCTCTTCTGGCCTCTGTGGACATTGTGCACATGTGATGCACAGACATACATGCAAGCAAAACACCCATACACATAAAATAAAAATAAACAAATGAGTAATAAAGTTTCAATAAGTTTCATGCTGCTGACCCATTGATGCTTAAACTAAATGTAACTGTAGGTTCTGCACATGGCAATCAGCATGCTGGCCCTTAATGAGATGCAGGCTCCTTCTCAGGAGCTCAGCCTGCCGAGGTCAGAGTTCCCAGAGCAAACTGTGGCTGTGACTCTGGATATCAAGAAGGCATCAGGAGGTGGCAGGAAGATGCCACTGAAAGGGACTTCTTTGCCGAGTCCTAGATGAGCATGGACCAGATCCCATGGGGAATGGGCTGGTGGCCCCACCCTGGAGGCAGGAGGCAGCTGCCACAGCAGGGGTGGTCATATGGTCATTCGGTGAGAAAGATGTTTCTGCTGGCAAGGCGAAAGTAGATCTGTGGGTTCCCTGGGAGGCTGACTTGATGGGACTCAAGACCAAGCATGTGCAGGAGAGGGAAGCCAGCTTGAAGTCTGACCCCACACCAGGAAGCAGGGCTGGTGGCCACACATAGAAGGATGAACCCTGGGTGCAGCTGGACGCACTTGCTCCTAAGAGTACCCAGGTCAGCGCGGTACAAGGAGCCGACGTGGACGCCTCCCGTCGAATGATGTCCACCTACCCACAAAGACGGAGACCTTCCTCCCGCCTGTGGCAAGACACTGCAAATGGGCTGGTGAGGTAGGTAAAGGTGCTTGGCAACAAGCCCAGGTACCTGAGTTCCCTTGTTATCTGGAACCTCTATAGTATAAGAAGAGAACTGACTCTGGCAAGTTATCATGTGTACCACAGCACCTGCACGCCAACCCTTAGACAGGGAGAAGACAGCTAATTCGTCCTGAGGGCTGCTAGGTCAGAGGTGCAGAGCAATGGTTGGGGAGGTGTCTGTCTGTCAGTGCTCATGCTCTAGGGTGATAGTGTGCTGTCCAAGAGCATAATATGACTGTAAGTCACATGTTCATGCGGTTTGCATGCCTGAAAAAGAGGGTAGCCCGGAATAAGGTGGAGAGAGGCGGGTCGGGATGCCCCTCCCAGCACATGGCAAGCCAGGAAAGTCCGCCTCAGATCCAAGCCTGAGCTACCTGGGTACATGCCTAACAGCTACTCTCTGCTGACCAGCTCCGCCACAGCTTTCTCCAGGTCTAGGGGTGGCAAGGTCAGGTGGTGGGTGGAAGGACTTGGATTGCAACCTGAGGCTAAGCCCACACCCTCGGGATGAATGCCTGGCCCTTCACCCCGAAGGGAGAAGCCTCTGCACTGTCCCAGCAGACAAAGGTTTAAGGCAAATCTATTCCAAAGCCACTTAACAATTTCCAAAATAGTAGCAAGATGTTTTCATAAAACCAAACTGGCTGCCGCGGAGGAAAACGCAGACTACATTGTCGAACTTGTTCCCTTAATTAGGACCAGATCCCGCTGGCTGGGGTTTATTTCCAGAAGTAGACATCCCCGAAAACCAGAAACAGCTTGACGTGCTGCTGCGTCGCTAATGCTTCTCCAATCTGAATTCCTAATTGGGTTTAAAAAGAAAAAGAAAAAAAAAAAAAAAAAAAGCAACCAGGAATTTTCACGCTGGTTTTGATTCGGGATTCAAAACAGAACCTACAATGTACATTCCTACATTGTTCTGTGCATAAACCGGTTCACAGTCCTTAAGACCCCTTCAGAGCTTACACAGAAAGGAAAAGCAAACCGCAGCATGAATTCTCAACTCAGTATCCCAGAGAGGCTTTTCTCATTCCGAGATGTGAAAACTGCCCTGCATTCTCGCCAAGATGCGTTTAAACATTCTAATCTATTTGCTTTGTCAAGGGGGAGCCCAGGCTAGGAGACATTGGAACAGCACCTGCTCCTTCCCCTGGGGACACAGAGGGCGTTTTCCTGCTTTTCTTTGTTAACTTACTGTAGAGATTGACTGGCCCTGTCTCTTGCCTTACTGAACTCCCATAAAGCAAACAGCTCGACCCCGGAGTCTGTAGGGCCGAGCACCTCCTTACCTGCGCAGCCGACCCTCCAGTACTTCCATGTACTTCACGGTGTTCGCCTTCACACTTGCTTCTGCAAGACAAAACCCAGTGTGAGTGCCACTGTAGCCCAAAACGGAGGGAAAACCACAGCCGCTCATTGAAAAGCTGAACACAAAGGATCGTGGTCAAGGCTCTAATAATAACAGCATGTTGTGTTTGGAAAGCCCTCAAGTCCGTCCAAACGGCTGCCTGGAGCCATGCGCTGGAAGTATGCAGAGGCTCCAATTGTCTGTGCAGTTAGAATCAGACACAGGCAATGTCACGGGGCCACCCTGACATAGTACTTTTACAGGTAGTTCACTGTCAGCCCATCACTGTGTGTGACAACACCTTCCTTCCAAAATACAGTCTCTATTAATGAAAACTGGTATGCACTCATGTTTATAATAAGCATTAGTTTGGGCTGTCAAACTAACATTTCGTTAACTAAATTAGATACTAAATGCTATATTCTCCATTATCGTTTAGATGTGAAATGTCCTCCAGAGGACACCGTGTTGGATGTTTCGCCACCAGCTATCAGAAGTGGGTCACTGGGGGCCAGCTCTGAAGGTGGCATCTGCTTCTGGTTCCACCCTGAGCTTTCTTCTTCCTGATCCACCAAGGTATGAGGATCTGCCACCTCATGCTCACATTGCTAGTGAATGTCCGTAAACGGAAATATGTTGCCAAGGGTGGGCCTTGAAGCCACTATCTGCCTTTGCTTCAGCCTAACCAAGATGACTATGGACACAGCCATCTCACCTTTCCTGCCTGTCCCACTATTTTGTGATTATTTTGTCTGTGCTCTAACAAATGAAGCTTGCCTGGAGATCAGAGTGAGGAGCTAGCCACTAGAGGCCAGGCAGTGGTGGCACACACCTTTAATCCCAGCACTTGGGATCTCATGCCTTTGATCCCAGCACTTGGGAGGAGGAAACAGGAAGTGATGAGGCTGGACCGAGAGAGGAGCTCATCCCTTTCAGTCTGAGGATTCCTAGAGGTAAGAAGTCTTTCTGGTGGCTGGCTGCTCTGCTTCTCTGATTTCTCAGCTTTCACCCTGATAACTGGCTCTGGGTTTTTACTATTAAGACCAATTAGAATTCACACTACACTCCACCATGATGACTGTAGACACAGCCACCCTACTGGCCATGCCTGGACCACCATGATGGAATTTTCTCTCTGAAACCATAAGTCACAATAAACTTGTCTGAAAGATGACTCTGGGTGAAGTAAGAATGAGTATGATAAAATATACTGTAAGAAATTCTCAGAAGGATTAATAAAACAATTATATAAAAACATGAAAAACTCCCTCCTCCCTGAAGTTACTTCTGCCAGCAGAAAATAACTAATCTACTCCTCTAGGCTTCTGTAGCTGGTAACCTGATGACTCTCCCTGTAATGGTCAAACAGTTTCCTGTGCTTTCCAAGTTGCCTGGAGGCTGACATCTGGGCTGAACACTGTTGGTATAAGAGTTTCTGAACCCTGAGCAGTCACCACCACCCCACCAAACCAGGCAGTCTAAGAACACCGTGCAGCATATACACTGAGTCAATTCACAACCTTCAAGATAGGCCAGGATGTAAACATGGAGTTTAGACTTTCAACTTCCAAAACTACAGCCATCAACGCACTGACTGAGAACAGGGTCCATCCCTTTCTCACTTCCCTGCATCTCCATCCTGAGTCTACTAGATAGGTACCTCTGAGGAGCTGATGATCCCAAGAACAAGGGAGGGTGCTCAGGAGATGCCAGAGCAAACAATAATGGGATCTTGGGCTCCTTTTTTTTTTAAAAAAAAATTATTTAAATTGATTTTATGTGCACTAATGTAAAGGCATCAGATTCCCTGGAACTGGAGTTACAGACAGTTATAAGATGCCATGTGGGTGCTAGGAATTGAACCCGGGTCCTCTGGAAAAACAGCCAGTGCTCTTAACCGCTGAGCCATCTCTCCAGCCCTGACCTTGGGCTCTTGATAGGGGAGAGGCATGAAGTACTTCTCCACTTGCCAACTGAATCCAATACTCAGATTACGCTATTAGAATGGATTTCAAATAATTAGTTTAATGAATCCAAATTAAGTGGAAACTGATTGGTAACTGAATATGGTAAATTTGTATATGCCATGAACATTGGTTAGTGCTACAGGTGTTTACCTAGATCCCATTTCATGTAAGGCACTGTACTTAGTACTGTGTGTGTGTGTGTGTGTGTGTGTGTGTGTGTGTGTGTGTGTGTGTGCATGTATTGCCCAGGGGCAGACATCGGGTGTCTCCCTCAGTCACTCTCCATCTCACTCTTTGAGACAGGGTCTTTTATTGAGCCTGGAACTCACTGATCTGGCTGGCCAGGCAGGCAGCCAGCCTCAGGGATCATCCCTTCACTGGGAAGACAAGCACACATCACCACACCAGGCTTTTAAATGGGTGCTGGGGGATGAACTCAGGTCTTCATGCTTTCCCGGCAGGCACTTTGCCAACTGAGCCATCTCCACAGCTCCCCATACTCGGTGCTATTTAACTATAACAAGGCTCTAGCACCGAGGGACCCAGAGGGGCCAATGCAAACAGTGACTTTCGTGTAGCCAACAAGCTAAGAATAGTTGACTTTTTTTCTTTTTTTAATATAGGGTCTCACTATGTAGAAGCCTGGCTGTCCTGGAATTTGCTCTATGGACCAGGCTGGCCTCAAACTCATAGAAATCTTCCTGCCTCCACCTTCTTAGTGCTAGGATTAAAGACATGTGTCACAATGCCCAGCTGTTATAACATTTTCTAAAAACGCATTTGTTTTTATGTATATGTTTGCCTGCGTGTGTGTGTGTGTGTGTGTGTGTGTGTGTGTGTGTGTGTGTGTGTGTGTGTGTGTATGGTACCACATGCATGCTAGTACATTTTTAAAAGCTGAAAAAGCTTTCATGTGGATGCAGCCACCCCCTCCCCAAATAACACAAGTGACATTTGGCCTATTTTTGCAAAGGAAGCTATCAGATTTCAATGATCAACACTCAGGCACCAATTTAGCCAAAATTACCTTCCATTTAGTAAAAATTTTCAGAAGGAAGATGAGAAAACAAAGGGAAAACTGGAATCCTGACAAATTTCAAATATCTGAGGCTCTAGCCGCCCTCCAGGTTTGTTTGGAAAATTAAACCATGTATAAAAATGAGGTGTGAACCCAGCAACTCAAAAGCGCCAGGGACGCCAGAAGTTGAGGGAGATGATCTCACAGCCATTCTGTCTTGGCAAATGATATGGAACACAACTGTGCAGGGCCTTGAAAGCTGGGAGGATCCTTCCTACAAAGCTGTTCTGCACACATCTCATTTCACACTCAAAGGCAGGAAGTCAGCACCTTCATGAGCCATCTCCCCAGCCTCAATATTCTAATGTTCATATTCATCTCGGTTCACTCTTCCGAGCCAAGTGAGTCACGTCTGTGGTTGCACAGGGCTCCACTGCCCCTTCATACCTGTTCAGCCACAGATTCAATGCTGCAATGGTATATGACAGTTCTGGCTGGACAGGGCTCTTGAGAGAGAATCCCAAAGCTGGAAGCATTTCACCCTCCCAGGTTGCTAGATATTTCTTATAGAGTTCCAGAGCCAGAAGCCAATGAACACATCACCAAACAGAGTCACTGAGCATTGTAAGGGGTTGATCAGTTTGAGGCTGCTAATTAACCTCTCTTTTCCTCTAATGGGAAGATTTACAGAAAGAAAGGAAAACTAATGGATGTGGGTTCTGGAGAATGAAGATGTAGTAACAGAAAGGGCTTCTCTTTGGGGTTCCAGCTAACACAGCTGCCACACAAGATCTTGTGTTGGCACCATGGGCACAACATCACCCTGGGCTCAAGAAAGTCGGGCTATTCAGAACTAGTCAAAGTGCAGAGTCTAGATAACTCTGAGTGCTCAGCTGTAGTGCTCAACACCAAACTCTCACCATCACAGGCTCAGGGAACAACTCCACAGGAGAGAGGGGAGGAAGAATGTAAGATGGGCAGGAGAGCCGTGACATGCTGACTTCTGGATATGGCATGGCTGCTGCACACATCTGCTCCCAGCAGCTATTTTTACCCACCCAAGACATGGCTAAGATCAAGCCAGACAAAGTCCCAGTATGAACAGGGAAGGGGCCTCCAAGGCCCCACCATACTGGAGGAGCTCTTGTCAAGTGAAGGCTGTTGAGGGAGGAGGAAAAGGAGAGTCACTCTCCTTCGGGGATGCGGCCACTGGTAGATTGCTTATGCTCCAGCGGACATATTCATGTACATATGGGCGATGCTAACTGGACTCAGGGAGTTATTAATAAAATGAAACCAGGACAAAGAGGGGATTGGGGCACCAAAGGGAGCTGAAGAGAGGTAAGAGGTGGATGGCTAAGACCCATATACATTGCATAAATCTATGGAATGTTTGCAGGATAAAAAAAAATATATTGTTACAAAAGAAAAGAAAGCAAACCAATCGAGCTGGTGATAGGAGCTGTCATACAGTGACCATGAAGGCAAGAGTGAGCCTCAGAGAGAGCCGCTCCAGGCAGCAGTTCTGGGTTCCTTAGGGACGGAGGTGAGGCCTCAGGCTTAGTTAAGTGGAGATAGTTAAAAGAGATTGGGGGAGGGGGACTCAGCTGAGCAAGAGGTCTTAGAGGGTGTGTGAGTAAGTGTGGGTCATTGCACATACAGTAAGATTTACAGCCTTGAATAATACACAATGTCAGCTCATTTTACCTTCCTGGAAATTTCCGAGTCATTTTCCCTGAGCTTGCACTGTGATTATTTGGTGGAGCACGTGATCCCACACACAAGGATGATGGGTCACTAGAGAACATAGTCTGTCTGGCAGGACAGGCTCTATGTCCCCATCGTGGCTGCCACAGCCATACATGGAAGTGGGTGTAAGGCCAGATTCACTCTTGCAGGTTTCTCTGGGGCAGGTGAGTGAGACATTGTACATGACCTCACATCATAAGCGGCATTGAGACCAGCAGTATGAAAACAACCTTAGAGTGGAGCAGGGTAAATGTTACTCTGGCACCTT